TGCTGGGCCCTGCGCGCGGCGGCGGGCCGGTTCGGCCGGCGCTTGCGGGGCGCGGCGGCCGCCTCCATGCCGCCTGGGAGGGTGCCGGGACGGCGAGGGGAGAGGGGAAGGGGCGGCGGCGCCCGGCGGCGCCCGTGGCGCTGGCTGGCCCCGAGCACCGCGCTCGTGCCAGCTGGCGCTGGAGGAGGAGGAGGAGGAGGAGGAGGAGGAGGAGGAGGAGGAGGAACGCGGGGCGCTGTCTCTTCAACACGACGACCCAACATTACGTCGGGCATGTCCCCGTACAGGTGGATTTGGGACGAAAAATCAAAATAGTCAAAACATATTCAACAACAGCGAAAAATGATAGAAAATCGCCCCCATACTAATTTGTGACCATTTCTGAATATTTCTCCTGTAGATTGGTACGCCCGAGTTAAACCCCACATCGCAGGATGGTTGGGAAAAAACGTAGCCTGGGAGATCTGGGCTTCCTGGTTCAGCGATCCCGTCCCTCTCGTGGCCCGCAGCCCCCCGTCTCGTCTGGCCGTGCGCGGGGCCCCAGTGGAGGCCGGTGCCTTCTTCTCCCGCGCGCGGGCCCTCTCGTCGTCGTCGGCTGGGGAGTCCCCGTCCGAGATCTCGTAGTTGTCCTGGGCACGGGGCAGGGCCTCCGACTCCTTGGATATATACGTGCACACAAACACACACACATACATACATACATACATACATACATACATACATACATACATACACACACATACATACATACATACATACTTACATACATACACACATACACACATACACACATACACACATACATACATACATACATACATACATACATACATACATACATACATACATACATACATACATACATACACACATACTTACATACATACATACATACATACATACATACATACATACATACATACATACATACATACGTGCATACATACACATACATGCATTCACACATACATACATACATACATACATACATACATGCATGCATGCATACATACATACATACACACATACATACACACATACAAACATACATACATACACACATCCATCCATCCATACATACATACATACAGACAGACATACATACATACATACATACATAAATACATATATACATACATACATGCACACATACACACATGCATGCATACATACATACACAAACACATACATACATACATACGTACGTACGTACATACATACATACATGCACAGTCATATATGCATATGTATATCTACGTATATCGTTGTGTGCACACATATGTGTGCACAGAGATCATATGGCTGCACGAGCGCGCATGTGCGTATGTATGTATGTGTATATACATGTGCATACCTGTATATATATATGTATATATACATGCATACGCCAATCTACGTATAACAATATTACCATGTATGTGACTCCGCACATGCCGACCTGCTTTTGGGGTATCTAGTCAGACATACATACTGCTCATTCAATATTATGCCGTATAATCTTGTCCACCACGAGACAAACCGTTGCTTCCCCTACTGTTTTCTGCTGGGGCCCTTCGCTGGGCCTTCGAGCCATGAAACAACGACTCAGGACGAACGGCGGGCACCGGGGAGGGGGTCGAGAAACCTGCTGGTGTGTCCACGCCTCGAGTCATTCGGAGCCCCGGATGCCTGGGAAGGAAGGCGAACGGATCCCCAGCGCAGCCGGCGAATCCGGAGCCCGTGAGGCGCCCGAGCGGCCGCCGCCCGCGGGCCCCGTGCCGACGACGCCGCGGCGGCGCCAGCGGACTCCGCAGGCGGCCCCCCTCGACGCTCGGGCCCTCGGCGGCCGCCGCCGCGGCACCGCTCTGGCCCAGACGCCCGACGTCTTTGAAGGGGCCCTGGGACACACAAATAAACACACACAAATATAATGATTCCCCACATTTTACCCATATTTTCTGGGTCTCTGTCTTCCCCCCCACTGCCCATATTCTCCCGTATTTTCTGGGGAATCGACGATTAATTGTGTCTGTGTTTTTTTTTTCCCTCCTGAGTCTTGAGTTTCCAGTGCGGGCTCCCCGGAGGTTTGGACTGTGAGCGGAGGTTGGCGTCCAATGAGTCGAACCTGCCGTGGGGTCCGTAGGTAGAGGGCGATAGGGAGGAGGGCCCCCCCGACTGGGGCCCATGGCCCGGCGAGGGCCCCCAGAGACCGAAAGCTGCGAAAGACTTCTGCCTTGCGCTGCTCGAGGGGCCTGGGGGCGGCAGCGGGAGGCCTGGGGGCCTGGCGCGTTACTCGAGGGGTCTGCGAGAATGCTACGCCTTGCGCACCTCGAGGGGTCCGCGAGGAAGCTGCGCCTTGCGCTCCTCGATGCGAGGCGGGGATTTATCCATATCCACCGCCTGGGGACCGACGTCCTGGTGCCCCAGCGAGCGGTGGATATGGATATCTTTTGGCCCCCGGGGGGCCCGAATATGTCCATATCCACCGCCAGCCGAGGTCCCCGCAACTTGATCCTTCAAGCGGTGGTCATGTACGGGGAAGCTGGTAACACTAAGGGCTGGAAACACAACGGACAGAGTGGTCAGAGTAGAGGAAACCGCGCCCGCGCGGGCCTGCGAACAGAAACAAAGGGAGCCCGCGCCCCGAGCGCAAGAACATGGAGACCTGATGGTGGCCCCAAAGAGCCCCCAACCGGCCCGACGGCGATCTCCGCGCAGGACTCGACGAACCGCAATCGTTCTGGAAGCCTGGGCGCGGCAGCGGCGGCGCAGAGCGGCGCGCCAGGCGGCTGGCGGGGCACGGCCGCCTGCCGAGGCAGGGCGCGGCGCGGGGCACGGCCGTGGGCGGCCCGCCGGCCCCCTCCGTCGTTGTCGTCGTCGTCGTCGTTTTCGGCGTCGTCGTCGTCGTCGTCGTCGTCGTCGTCGTCGTCGTCGTCGTAGCGGCGGCGGCGGCGACTGCGAGCCACGACGTCGATGCCTCGACGACGTCGGGCGTCGAAGGCGCCCTCGCTCTGGCAGCCGCCGACGCCATCGCCGTCGTCGTCATCGTCGTCGTCACGGGACCAAGGCGGGCGTGGTAGGGAGGAGGAAGAGGAGCAGGAGGAGGAGGAGGAGGAGACTAGAGTAGGGAGAGAAGGAGGACGAGGAGGAGGAGGAGGAGGAGGAGGAGGAGGAGGAGGAGGAGGAGGAGGAAGAGCGACAGTGCGAAGTAGGAGAAGGTCGTCACGTCTTCCCAGCAGCAGTCGTAGACAATGATAGCGGCGTGCGGGCCCAAACAACGACTCTGTGTGGTCGACGCGCTGTGGCTGACGACTGCGCGTTCGGTCTGTGGCTCTCCCAGGGGACTGCTGCGGCTAGCGGCCGCATTTTCAAAGACGAACTCCTGACTTTCTATGCTGTGAGGAAAGTCTCCGAGCGCGGGCGCGCCCTCTGCAGCGCTCCCAACTGTCGCCGCGATACTGTCTCCAGGGGGGGCGCGGTTTCGGGCGCATTTTCGGCCTCCGCTGCGATGCTGCCCCAGGGACGCTGATAGGAGTGAGGGGCGACCGCCTGTTCAGTCTGTGGCTCTCCCTGACGACTGTTGCAGCTAACGGCTGCACTTCCCAACGCAAGCTCCTGAGTCTCTATTTTGTGAACAAGCGTCTCCGAGCGCGGGCGCGGCCCCCACTGCGATGCTGCCCGAGGGGCGCTGACAGGAGTGAGGGGCATGGGTGTCCGCCTGCCTGTCTCCAGGAGGGGGAGGGGCCGACGCGCTGTGGCTGACGACCACGCGTTCGGTCTGTGGCTCTCCCAGACGACAATTGCAGCTAGCGGCGGCATTGCCGGCAGCGGCGCCACCAGCAGCGAGGGCAGCGGCCGCGCTGGCCGCCGCGGCGACCGCGGAGGAGTCGCCAGCGGCAGCGGCGGCGGTCATCGCAGCGGAGAGCGCCGCGGCCGCGGCGCCCGCGGCGCCGGCGGCCGCGGCGGCCCGCGCGGCGGCGTCCGCGGCAGCGGCCACGGCGGAGGGCCGGCGGCGCCAGCGGCAATGGCGGCGGCGGCGGCGCCAGCCGCCGCGGCGGGGGCAGCCGAAGCGGCGGCGGTAGCCGCCGCGGGGGGGGCAGCAGCCGCGGCCACCGCGCCAGCGGCGCCGGCAGCAGAGCCGGCAGCGGCCGCGTCCGCGGCGACGGCCGCCGCGAAAGCGGCCGCAGCGCCAGCGGCCGCGGCAGCGGCACGCGCAGCGGCCGGCCCCAGGGCAGCTCCGCGGGCCACGGCGGCCCAGGGCGACGACGCAGCCACCCTCTGTCGGCGGCGTCGGGCTGATGGGGTCTCCCACCATCCTTTGTCGGATCTAACCCGCCACTGGCCGTCATACGTTGGCTCTGCAGCGGCTCCGCCGTTCTGGCGGCGTCCCAGCTGGCAGGCCCATAGTCCCTCCATTGGTGCGTTTGTAGCGGCGCCGCCTGTGCGGCGGCGTCCTGGCGAGTATAATGCCATCTCCATGCCCTCACCTCCTCTGTGCGAGCCTGGCCTCCCCCGCATCGGCTTCCACCTCGTTGAGGCGCGTGCGAACAGCTCGCAGCAGAAGCTCTAAGTGCCGCTGAATGCCTCAGAAGCTCCTCGACGAGGCCGACCCGCCCAATCCAGTCGAGCATCCGAGTAATCCATTGCGGCAGCGGGGCTCGTGCGGGAGGGTCAGGGTTCGCGATGTCGGCAGCCACGCGAAGAGCTGAGCGGGAACCGCGCCTTTTCGGCATGAAAGGCGCAGAAGCCAACTCCAGAGCGGTGACGCGTCCGGGGCCCCAGACGGGTGACGCTTCCGGGATCACGAGCACGGAGCGGGAACGCGTCCGAGTGGCAAACGCGGCGGTCTCGGCCGGGCAAGGCCGCGCGGCGCCGCCGTCGCAGGCAGCTGGTTCCTGGGCTCGAGCCAGAGCGGCTTGAGCCAAGGCTACTGACTGGTGAGGATCTTTTTTTTTTTGGTCGCGGCCGCAAGCGAAGGCGCAGGCGGCGTCTCGGGTCGGGCGGGCACTGGTGGGGACACTTTTTCGGTCGCGGCCGCGGGACAAAGGTCAGGCGGCGAGAAACACCTTTTTTTTTTTTTGATCTGCGGCCCAAAGGACGGTTCCAGAGGGCGGGTCAATCAGGCTGTCTGGGGCACAGAGCCAAATAATTTGCGAATCCAGCCGTCACTGTCGACAGCCGACCGCACCTGCAAGCATGCCGAACGGAATTCAAGGAGACGCATCTTAGCGCCGAAAGGTGGGAACGGGCGAGGGGAGAGGGCGATTGGCCGCCGAAACGCCAGCGCACCACGACGGAGCAAGCAGGATAAGTGCCAGCGGGCCAAAAGCCAACGCCGGAAAGGCACAAGCGACCACGAGAGCAAGCAAGATAATTGCCAGCGGGCCAAAAGCCAACGCCGGGATGCACATGCGAGGAACAAAATGAACCTCATTAAGCCGCACAAAAACGGTACCCAGTGACAGCGGGGCGTCGCACAGTGGCGCCAGCACCCGACAGACCGGGAGACGAAGGGGCTACTGGTGGGGATACGCGAAGCGTCAAGAATTCCCTGAAAATTCAAGGGCGGGGCTCTGCACGGTGCCGAATGCCCCTCGGCACACGGTGACCATCTCCACTCCCGTCCGCCCGTTCATGGCAGCATTGGGTTAGCCAAGAGCGTTGCAACTGTAAACGTGCGTGTGAAGAAAGTCGGCACGCGCGTCACACTCGCGAGGGTGATTTCTGGTTTCTGGGGAAGGATCTGCTCGGACCGTTGCGCGCCCACGCCGCGGGCCATCACGACAGACTGGCCACCTCGCATGGGCCCGCGTGTCTGTCCTGCCCACGAAGATGGAGCAACACCTACACAAACGCATGGCACGGCGCTCCTGCGTTCCAAGTGAGTCGCGCAGGCTTCCGAGGTGGCGCTGGACATGTTATGCCCAGCTCGCATGGTGACGAACGGCGATGCCGTTCCAGCATCAGCAGCAGTGGTTGCGCATGACACGCTCTCGCGTCACTTGGGAACGGGTAAGCCACTGTGGGGACGCGGGTGCTCGCGGGACGGCGCAGGCGCTGGGAGGTCTCCGAACAACATGCTGATTAGAGGAAAGCAAGCGGCATGGACATAAACGTTCGGAGCTCCGACAGGTATTGTTTATGCAGTTGCTATTCCTCGCCTCATGCCGTGGTGGAGAAGGAGGATGAGGAGGAGGAGGACGACGACGAAACGTTCGACGACGCCGAAGGCGCAGGCGGATCACGAGCAGGAAGACGCGCGACCACTCCTTCAAAAGCGACCTTGGCTCGCAAAGCGCTGTTAGGGCATACCGGATTCGGGCTGTGCTTGTGGCGTCCAAAACCTGGACAGCGGAGCAGTCTAAAGCGCGCGAAAACCTCTGGGGGACGCCTGCAAGAACGCCTGAAACGAGGTCTGGGAAGCTTGCAAGTCTGAGAAATTGGCTTCGTAGGAGCTCCCGAAGCGCCCAGAAAGAGCTCCAAAACGGCTTGCGGCACAGGCATTCGGAACGGGCAGGAAAACGCTTTCGGGACACGCTGCGACCTCAAGCAACTCGCTGCGAGGCTTAGAAAAAGACAAAAGGGCATAAACATAAACTTTTGGCGCTCCGCGCGGATGTCTCGGATCCGCGCTGGGTCCCCCTCCCTTGGCGCGCGGAGCGCGCCAAGGCCTCCGGCGGCTCGGGGGGGACCCAGCGCGGATCCAAGAAATCCGCGCGGAGTACCAAAAGTTTATGTTTCTTCCGTGATTCCTTCTTCGAAGGCTCCCTGCCGCTCCTCGTTCCTGGGGAAACCAAAAGGTACCAATACTGCTACTCACCGGATCTCTCCTGGGGTGCGCTCTAACCAGGATTTCGGAGGCGAATCCAGCGGTGGCGACGAAGGACGCCCAGGAGGCCCAAAAAGGGGAAAACAAGGGAAAGCACCGGTATGGGTAGCTTCCGCCAGCCTGATTTTTTCAATGCACGGTCCTCGGAAGTCCCGACCCTTTCCCCGGGACTGGCTTCTCATCCTGAATCGCTTCTTGACGGTCCCCAGGCCCGGCGAGGGCCTCCAGTCGCCGGAAACGGCCGAAAACCTCCCGTCGCAATTTTCCTTACGCCGCGATCGTGTCGGGGCTTTCCTTCTCCGAAGTCCTCCCCGCGCCCGTCGCTCGCTGGCTCCCTCGCGGGAGCCGGAGGAGGGAGGAGGGAGGAGGGAGGAGGGAGGAGGGAGGAGGAGGAGGAGGAGGAGGAGAAGGAGGAGGAGGAGGAGGAGGAGGAGGAGAGGAGAGGAGGAGGAGGAGGAGGAGGAGGAGGAGGAGGAGGAGGGAGGAGGAGGAGGAGGAGGAGGGAGGGAGGAGGGAGCCGCCCGCCGGGCCGGCCTGCGGGGCGCCCCCCCCGCGGCCGGGCCGCGCGTCCTCCACGCGCTTCTCGGGGAGGGCGGCGCTCCTGGGGCGCGGCGCGCGCGCGGGCGCGGCGGGGCGCCCCAGGAGCTCCTCCTCCTCCTCCTCCTCCTCCTCTCCCTCCTCCTCCTCCTCCTCCTCCTCCTCCTCCTCTCCTCCTCCTCCTCCTCCTCCTCCTCCTCCTCCTCCTCCTCCTCCTCCTCCTCCTCCTCCTCCTCCTCCTCCCCCGCCGATCGCTGCGGTGCGGTGCGCCTGAGGTGGCCTGCGCGCCTGCGTGCTCGGGTCTGCAGAGGAGGATGAAGGGACCCTGGGAGGCACGAATCGATACACACGAATGAGAGGATTCCCCCTATTTTCCAACATGTTCTGGGTTATTGTCTTCCCCCCCCACCTCCCATATTTTCCCATATTCTCTGGGGAATCGAAGATTCATTGTGTCTGTGTGTGTGTGTTTTCCCCTCGTGAGAGGAAGAGGTAGCGATGCCGCTGCCCTTAGCCCGTTTGCCCCTTTCTGGGCCTCCTGGGAAGCCCTCGCCGCCACCGCTGGATTCGCCTCGAGCTCCTGGTCAGGACGCACCCAGGGAGAGGTCCGGGGAGTAGCGGCACCGGTGTACCGTTTGATCTTCCCCGCCCCCGCGCGCGCCGCCCCCCAAAGCCGCTCCACGTCACTGCGGCGAGGGGTCGCTCTCACGCGGGGCCGAGCGTTGCACGTGTGGCCGACTCCAGCTGTCCCCGAGTCTACACATGGGGGCGTCTCGCGTTCAGATCCGCCGCCTTGCGCCGGCCTTCGGCTGGCTTCCCGGCGGACCCGCCGCCAGGTTACCTCCGCCAGCTGCCGCCAGAGGCGAGGCCTTTCATGGAGCGCCTCATCTAGGAGGAGTGTCAATGATGCACGCCCGTTGCGAGCATGCCTTGCACGCTGAGTGATCACTACCGTCGCTACTCCTATGCAGGAACTGACGCTCGAAGTCGCACCAGGAAGTTGGCAGCGCTTCCCATGTGCCCATGGGGAAACGTCCGGAGGCCAGGGGCAGGATACAGATGCGGAAGCCCAGCCTGGCCATGGCGGGACCAGGCGCTGGAGAGACATCTGGCCACACGAGTGCCGTCGGGGCGCTGACCTGAGGAACGACACATCAGGAGCGAGGCCCCTATTTTCCTTAAGGCAAACTGCGATTCTTCCCATCGAAAGCCGAGGGAAAACCATAGGCGAACTGTCAACACCAAGGAACACCGAGCCCCTCCCAAACGAAAAGGGCTCCTTCTTCATCGCCCCGACTGTACCCAGCTTTCTTCGCCCAGGCCGGCCGCATCGTGCACATCCAGCGTCCAAGGCTGTTCGCCTTCTGCCCATGGCTCTGGGGATCGAATGACACACAGCAGAAGCGCTCGGAGGTCCGCGCGGAGTTCTTGGATCGGCGCGGACCTCCTCTCTTCTCCTCCTCCTCCTCCTCCTTTTCCTTGGATCCCCCTCCCTGGCGCGCTGAGCGCGGCAGGCCTGTCGCCAAAGGCGCCGCCAGGGGGACCCAGCGCCGCTCCGAGATCTCCGAATGCCTCTGTCTGTGTCGTTTGTTGTTCCCCGACAGCTCCGCAGTTCACGGCTGACCGCATGCTTGTCCTTTCGCTACCCAGCTGGGCCGCGGAGTGGGACCTCTTCTTAGTCTCCCAACACAACACGAACACGGTGTTAGCTCGCGCGCGTGCCGTTCGCGTCACAAACCAAGTGAGAAGAGATCGCGAAGCAGATCCGCACCCAGAAATCGAGAGGGGTCAATGCCGATGCTGCATTATGCAGCGCTGTACTGTCAACCGGTTGGGGTCAGGACGCGCAATAAGGATGCGAAGGCCTTGGAGGGTCATGCCGACACTTTGCGAGCGGGGCGCGGCCATCGAAAACGGTCAAGGATGGGCCGACCTGACACCACGAGGGTCGGTCAACCTTGAACAATCGACCGTTTCTGAAACGCGACCGATTCTGGGTCGCCGGCGGCGTTTCAACGTTGCACGCCGGCGGCGGAGCCGCCGCCAGTCGCCACGACGCGAACTTACCGTACCGCCCTTGCCCAAGCCGCGACCCAAGAGCACGTTGGAGTACCATGTGGGACCTGCTCTAGAACAGGAACATACCAAGAACACCCCGAGGCCTAAAAAGGATACCAAACGCTTGAACCCCATGAACCTCGACCCTGAATCCACTCTCCTCTCTTGGCTTACCATGTGGGACCTGCTCTAGAACAGGAACACCATGGACGGATCTACCCTGTCTCCGACCTTGCACCGCGCCGATCGCAGCGGCCACGCTGTCCCTAGACGCATCCACCCCGAAAGTGTCCAGTGGACGTCACGGCACCCAGTGTGTCCATAGACGCTTTTGGCCGGGACGCGAGAGCGGCACTTGGCATCGGCCCCAAATGTTGGTCTTGTGGATGCAGGTAACTAACCAACCTCAGCCCTCCAACACCTGGGCGTTCGAGCGCACAGCTGCCGTTGCCGGCCCCTGCGCGCCGACGCCTCCCGCCCCTGGCCATCGCTCGGACGTCCATTTCCTGTGTTTTTTTGGGGGGGTTTCGTGCGTGTTTTTTTCGCCAAATGATCAAGGATGCTCCTCGAGGGTCCTCGCCGGGAAAAAATGCACACGTCCGAGCGATGCCAAGGCCGTCGCGCGCGCCCTCTGCGCGCCGACGCGCGCCGTCCCGCAGATGCTCTGCGCCGCCGGCGGGCGGCGTCGGCGCGCTCAGAGCGCGCTGCCTCGGCCGCGGTGTGGGACCTCGGCCCGGAGCTGCGCACCGCGCGCGGCGCCGCTGCCGCCCTGCCCTCGGCTGGCCGCCCCCTCCGCTCTCTGCGGCCAGGAGGCGGCCGCAGAAGAGGGGCACGTTCGTCGCTCCAGGCCAGGAGGAGGCGGCCAATAAGAAGAGAAGGGCCAGAGGACGAGGACGCGGAGGAGGAGGAGGCGGAGTCAAGCGAAGACCTCCAGCTTCCAGCTGAGCGTGAGCGCAGCTGCCCTCGACTGAGCGTGGCGCCTCCAGCTTCCTGGCAGATCCTGTGCTGCTTGCTGCGGCTGGCTGCCGCTCCCGCTCCGCCCCCTCGTGGCGACGTGGGGGCGAGGAGGCGCACGTGCTGCTGCCTGCTGCCCCGCCAGCGCCCATTGGAGCGGTGCCTGGCGACGGCTGGGGCGGTGCTGCGCGTCGCAGAAGCTCCGCCCGTCGCAGAAGCATCGGCGGCGAGCGAGGGGAGGAATCAAGAAGGTTTCGAATTCGAGGTTCGGAGGTTCGGGACTCGCCGGTGCTCGGCGGCTTTCCAGCCTCGGGATGCGTTCCAGCAGCTGCGCCTCGCCGAGAGCGTCCGAGGGGTGTCTGGATCGTCCCGAACGGCCGCTGGAGACTGGAGCTATGACCCGAAAACCAAACTCGGCGGCCCGCCGAGGGGGGACGTGAGAAGGAGAAGGCCTTCTTAGAAGGCGGCGGGGCTTCTCAGAAGCCCTCCAGCCTTCTGAGAAGTTTTCTGTGCCTTCGAGGCTGGCTCAGGAAACGTCTCAGAAGACTGGGGGACTTCTGAGCTTTCTGAGAATCGGGGGCGCGCGGCACATGGATTAGCGATCCATGAGTTTGGCGCGCGGTCGCCAGATCCATGGAGCGGGACCTGGACTTCCGAGCCTTCTGAGAAGGCCCACCCCTTCTCTCTGGAGTCTCGAAACGGTGCGGTGACAGACCGTGCGGTGACCTCGGAACCCCAAAAGACCTCACCGCACGGTCCGTCACCGCACGGTTTTGGGACCTCGCATGCCCCAGTCGCCCGAGACGTCCTCGGAGAGGGACCCGAGCCCCAAAACCGTGCGGGGACCCCGAATCCCCACAGACTCTCACCGCACGGTGTGGCCTCCACCCCGTTCGGGGACCACGGATTCTCACTTCCCCCCGCGAGGCTCGCCGCCGGAAGCAGGCGCGGTGGGGAGCGTTCGCTTCGCGTGCCGCCGCGGCGGCTCCCCAGCGGCACGCGATGCACTTCGGGCGGAGGGCGCGTCGCTGCGCTCCGCGGGGCGGGGCGGGAGGCTCCTCGGGCAGGCCTGGGCAGTCCTCCTCCTCCTCCTCCTCCTCCTCCTCCTCCTCCTCCTCCTCCTCCTCATCCTCCTCCATCCTCCTCCTCCTCCTCCTCCTCCTTCATCTTCCTCCTCCTTCATCTTCCTCTTCCTCCTTCTCCTCCTGCTCCTCCTCCTCCCCCTCCCCCCTCCTCCTCCTGCTCCTCCTCCTCCTCCTCCTCCTTCTCCTCCTCCTCCTCCTCCCCCTTCTCCTCCTCCTCCTCCTCCCAGGCTCGCCGCTGAAAGAAGGTGCGGTCGGGAGCGTTCGCTCCGTGTGCCGCCTCGGCGGCTCCGGCGACACGCCGCATGCCTTGCAGGCGGAGGGCGCGTGCCGCTGCGCTCTGCGGGGCAGGAGGCTCCGGAGCGCGCGAGGCGTGGACGCCTCGGGACCGCGAAGCGGACAGCGTGTCGCGCCAAGGCGCGGTGGGCCAGAACTGGGGGGGGGGGGCGGCACGCTGTCCAAAAGTTCCCGACCAGAAGCAGCACAGACGACAGCTTTCGGAGCTCCGCGCGGGTTCCTCGGATCTGCGTCGGGGCCCCCGCCCTGGCGCCGGCCCGAGCAATCCGCTCAAAGCTCCGACAGCTTGTGTGTGTGTATGCTGATTGCTCCTCTTCGATTTCTCCGCCCATGCCGTCTTAGGCCACGCGTCACGACGGTCCTCACCACCCACAGGAACCCCCACGGGCTCATGCTGCACCAGGTCTGTCTGGGCCTCTGCTCACGAGGATCCCCCCGCCCCCAACAGGGAGCACCAACAAGGCTGAATCAGTATGCATCTTGGGCCGCCCCTCGCGAGGATTCTCACCTCCATAGGTGCACCATTACAGCCTCAGTGGGCACGTGCTCCCGCTGCACCCAGATCCTCCCCTCGCAGTGGTTCTGGCTCCAAGAAGGATCCGAACCCAAGCAAGGTCCTAGTGGGCGCGGGCGCACACCTGGCCTCGAATCTTTGGGACCGTCTCGAAAAAAGGGTCCAAAGCTTCAGGAAAACGAGCGCACGCCGGCTGAGGCTTGCCAGAACGCGCAGGCTGCCGCCAGGCTGACGCACGGGCACAAGTACC